ATACTTTGGACCACCTAAATATGTTTGGACCGATATTGGTTCGGATATTTATTTATTTGGACCGACACTATTCGGTCCGTATATGTTCGGTCCGTATACGTCATTTTTCTAGTAGTGTCAAAGGGTTTCCCAAACAACACATCAGGAAGGTTTTCAACTCGGTGACGCATTGAAACACCATCCAATCGAGGAGGGGGACTGCCTAATTCAACTTGACCCTTCAACAAATTACTCTGATCAAATCTAAAAGAATGTGATTTCGGTAAAAACTAATGATGACAATAAAAAAAAACATGGTTTCCGACCATTTTTAAGATAAAAAGATTGTGTCACCTCCATATAGTAAGGACATGACAATTGGCCATGAGTGCTCCAACCAGCCACCATACCATAACCCGGAAAATCAGTTATGGTCCACATCAACATAGCCCACATTATGAAGTTTTGTTTACGATAATTATCATATGTTTCTACACCAGTCGACCATAACATTTTCAAGTCTTCAATTAAAGGTCGAAAGAAAACATCGCTTTTTTTACCTAGGCTTTTGGACCTGCAATGACCAATGTAAGAAAAGTAAACTCTGGTCGCATGCGCATCTCTGGTGGCAAATTATGAACAATCAAAAAAACAAGCCAACAAGAGTAGGAGGTTGAAGAATAAGCCCATGGGTTGAAATCATCAATAGCAAGACCTACGAGGTTCTATTTTAAAAGAAGGATGCCTTTGATCAAAATGTCTTCATGCTTCTGATTGTGCTGGATGAATGACCTCATCCGTATCACCACAACATTTCAAATTCCATGTCATGTGCTCAGCTATTTTTCGAGACATGTATAGCCTCTGAAGGTGAGGTATTATTGGCAAGTACCAAAGAGAATTTCTCGAAATGTCTTTTTGTCTATTCCTCCCTGGATTTCTTTGTTTATACCTCGCTTCTCCACAAATTGGACATGTAGTAAATGTTTTCGTATGCTCCCCATAGTATAAAAAGTAGTTGTTAACACAAGTATCAATTTTTAGATAACTTAACTCAAGCCCTTTCATATATTTTTTTTACTTCATAAAAGTTTGTGGGAATTTTTTCCTGATCTTTAGCACTTAACAACCTCCTACATCCTTTGAGAATGGCATTAAAACCATTAGCAATTATATTATTTGCAATCTTTGTATGCAACATATAAGAAAGCCAACTAAGCACTGTCTCATTTCTTTTAGAAGTACCAAGTGGAATTATAGATGCATGAAGCAAGTCATAAAATGCCTTTGCTTGATTGTTTGGTTCTTCGTCCAAATGTTGATTGGGGAAATTACCTTCCATTTCCCAATTATCATCATCCTCTGGACAAAATGCATCATACACCATTTCATGAAAGTCATTCCTTTCATCATGGTGTGTATCTTGGCTATGTGATGATTCTCCCAGATTAGTAGTAGACCATAGATCTGCTGAATTAACAAATGTCTCACTATGTGCCCACCAAACAGCATAAGCATTCATAAAACCATACTTAGTAAGATGGTCTCATACCATTTCCCGAGTCATCAACGGTAAATTAAAGCATTTAGTACAAGGACATTTAATTAAATCATTCGGTTGAAGACCAAGGCTATTATATGCAAATTGAAGGAAATATTCAACTCCATTATAGAACTCATTACATATCTTTCCTCTTGGAGTTCAACGCTTATACATTCAACTACGATCCTCCATAATCTTATTAAATCAATAAAATAAAATTAATAATATGATTAGTTTCAAAATAATTATGATATCTTTCACATATTTTATAGTTGGTTAAAATCCTAATTTATCATATATACATATATATAAATATGTTAAATTTAATCATGGTTAAATACCCTTTTTGGTCCCTCTACTATAGGAAAAAGCCCCTTTTTGATCCCTGTACCGAAAAAATCCTCTTTTTAGTCCTTACTGTTCACAAATCCGGCCCCTTTTTGGTCCCTCCGTTAATTTTTGCTCACGTGTCACGTTAACTTAACTGAAACAGCTGATGTGGATATGCCAATACGTAAAGGATGCTTACATGGACCCCACGTCATCATCCACGTCACCATCCATGTGGACTCCACTTCCTCCGGCCTTTTTTTTTTTTTTTCTTTTCTTTCCTCTTACCCCGCAGGCGAACCCAGGCTCTCCAAGAGCCTGG